TTAAACCTGCTGCTAACTGCCAATGAAATTATGACCTTTGATTGCTGTCAAGCCACACACCAACACAGCCCGAGGCCAGTGTGCGGAGGAGCCCAGACCAGAAAATCTGTTACTGGTTTGCCATTGATTTGAGAGATGCAGGTTTTATTCTTTGTGTGTGAGCATGTGCGTGTGTGTGTAGGAAAAAAGCATGGGAGATGACTTCACAACCTAAATAAAAATAATCAAACATATTTTATTTATTTTTTACCATTTTAAAAACTTTTTTACTCTTTTTTTCCTACTGTTTCACTATTACTACACATTCATTTAAAATACTGGATTTCTGAGTTGATTAGACAATAATGTGATTTGAACAGACCTGGTTTTTAAATCCCAAACTGCGGGTAAACTATTTAGAATAGAAGGTGTGATTGTGGGCTGAAGCCCCACTGGACAGTTTCATGGTTATGAACATGCGGACACAGAAGCTCCCCATGTCTTACTGCTGTGTCCCAAGCCCTGAGCATCTTTATGGGAAGAGCAGACACTCTATAAATACTCGTTGAACAGACGAATGCATACTAATGTGGAGACAAGGTCTCCAGTCCAGAAACAAGTAGCACGCACTTGGCATGCGTGAATATTTTAGTCATGATCCTTCTTTAGGCAGTCAGCCTCCAGACACCCCAGAGGGCTTTATGACAGTTACTTCCATGAAAAGTTTTAGTTAAAAAATATTCGAAGAAATTTGCAAGCCTGCAACCTGTATTGTAAAAGGTTCTTCTGACTAAAGCTCTGGTCATCTTTACTGTGTAGTTCATTTTATAAAATCTAACCTATCCCTTGAGTGCTTAACATGCAACTTGTAACAAAGATAACACAGGTAAAGCACCGCCATAACAAAAGGTGTATTTTTATTTTGTCGGTACCTTCTGAACAAATTATTTTCTCTCCATGGATTTGCGAGGAAGGGAGCAGGAAATAGAAGTGGAAAGAAACTCAAACCAGCTGTTGCTTTAACAGAATTAAAATTGTGACCCCCCCAACCTCTTCTCTAAAGCATCTATTTTCCAGGCAACACTCTCCCAGCAAGCAGCAAGTTCCAAGGAGGAAAAGACTTGGAACTTGAAACCCTCTCCTGCTCTCCTGAGGTCCATAACCCCAGATAAGAAAAAAGGAATAGAAGTCCAGGAGGCCTCACAGGCATTTAAAATACAGGTCATTCCTGGAAAACATGTTTGGGAATTTCTCAGTTATTAATTTAATCATAATTTGGAAGGTGAATGATAGCTGTGTCTTTTCAACAATGTACTTCTGGGTTTAAAAAGTTAGTAAATTCCAAGTTTCTACTATAAGCCATTTAACCAGCCAGAAATACAAAAATGATGCTGTTGGTAAAAGGCTATTTCAGAGTGCAGGGCTAGTGTACAATGCAAACAAATGCAAAAAAGCGTACCCCCTTCAAAGAAACGAAGCCATAGCACCGTAGTGGAGGAGTTTCCTCTCTTGGGAGAAAGAATAGAGGGGAGGAGGAAGCTGAGGA